TGGTATCCGCTGATATATTTAATAATTTTCTATTTGCTACGTTTCCCAACTTTCTCTCCTTTTCGGCTTGAAATGGTTAATATAAATAATTAGATGCGTATGTGGTACCCGTTAAACATTGCTGAAAATGGCCGACAGTCTCCACATACAGTGTGAACCTCGGACATAATGCGTGTCATAGAAACTTCCCACCTCCCGCCTATTACATGTCATCACTAAAGGAACATGTTCTTAGCAGTGTTATTTTCCACCGGACCGTAAAATGTAGAACGCGAGATGGTACCTTATTAAAGACAAAGAAAAACAATATAAACCAATTTCTTTGTGAAGTTACATAAAAACGTATGAATTAATTTCGTACAGTATGACATTTTTCAAGAAATAATTTTATGTTCTCTTCAGGAAGCTTAAAATATTCCGGTAGATATCTTCCGCGTAAAAACTCTCGAGTAAAGAACTGTTATATCCTTAAGATATTAATAAAACTGTTTTAATTCACTACCGTAGTTTAATGAAACAGAATTAGTGTGTCTTACGACGTATTTGTATTGATGTATAGTTCTTAAAAAAAGACTTTAACGTAAAATTTGTACAGTCGGAAACTATATTTGTCGAGGTAAGATAAATGACGTAATCTTTTGTTAATAATTCATAATTTACAAAGAACCCGTGTGTGTATTCTAGTACGGATATATTTTTTTTCCGAGTCTTGTTTGCTTAAGATATATGAACTGTGTTTCATTCGTAGTGGGATAAGACAAAGACGAAATGTAAAACTGCCATGAAATCGTACAAATTCTCTGACCTTTGTGCCCGTTTTACCTGAAACAGTAATTTATTTACATAATATTCTGTATGAAATGGAGTAACAATGAGATTCCGTTGTTCTTAGCCGTCAGTGCCAATAACGGTCTTCTAACGCTATCTTCAGTGATCACAAACCATAAAATCTTTGTAAATACAATACGCCACTTATGTCCGTGCTCTAACGGAGGAAACGGGGTACTTTAAAGGTATACACGTTATTCGTAATTACACGATACATCGAAGTTCTGCTACAAAGCTGGCCATAACGGTTCGGCGCATTCATTTGTTTACATGATTATGTGTTAGGTGTCGGGTGGAGTTCACTATATAGCGTAACAGCAGAGACGCGACCTGCCATGACCGGTCGTAGGGTCTCTGAACATAACAGTACGTGTCATAATCTTTGCTTTTGAGTCTTTAAGCAAGTCAGGACTTCGATTCCCGAGTTAAAGCTTTGATATATAACATATATGTTACGATGTACAATGCTGTTATGTGATTATATATTTATATTTCTTCATTTATTTTACTTTTGGTACAATATTGTTTAAATTTCGGACTTCCTTGCATTTGGCTGTTATATTTAATACTGTATAATCTCTTTTTGTAATGTTATTCATTATTATTTCACTATTATTGTATGTATTATCAGTGTTTGCCTCTTATTGGCTTCTTGCTGTCGGCAAACACGTAAATAAATTAATTGAATTGAATTACCCCTACGCATACTACACAGTAAATGTATATAAGGTAGTATATTTGCGTCATATTGTGAATTAGGTTAATATTTTAATATTTTCCGTCAAATCACAATTTTTAATAAGAAAAAAAACAATACCTTCGTTCTAATATATAAGAGTAATCTGATAAGAACATCTTCAATAAACTGCATAACATTGTAAAGGATTGTAATTCGAGTTTTAAATTTACCAATCTAATTTATACCTGAGGACGGTTAAATATAACCGAAACATGTCGTAAGATACGTTCCAATTTGTAAATCAATCATTCGATGCGGAACGTGAAATGATATTTTAAATATTTTATATTTTATTATCTTATTAAAAATTGTGATTTGACGGAAAATATTAAAATATTAACAGTAAATGTATTTTAAAAAATATTTTTTTATAATTTTCTTCGGACATAAAACAGCCAACTCATACATGGGATTATAACGGTATAAACACATACCAGATAATGAGACACTACCAAAATTTAACCTAAAGAACCTTGAAATACAAAGTAAAAGGACCTTTGTGTTTTGGTCCCACGCGACTTTATAGCCATTTTACATTTTTACCAACGTGGAAATATGTAAATACATTCTGTTAGCGTCTGATGCAACAGTGTTTTGGGACAACGTTTCGTTTAGGATGTTTGTCAGAGAGTAGACCAACACGTGAGTCGCCTGCACAATTAGTGGAGGTTTCTTTTACACTCTGACAACAAACACCACTGTGACAAACCTTCATTTAAGCCTATATCGCAAGAGACGGTTCTGAGGAATACAAAGAACCACGTTGACTAATAATAAATGTCCCTAAGACAAATCCTAACTTTGTATACATCCCAGGATTCAAATTGAAGATATTTAAATATAAATTAAGTTCAATTCACTAAGGGCCAATGTTGATATATATAATGGTATTTTTATTAAAAATATATTTATTTAATTCATTAATGTGTTTACATCTTTTTGGGACATTCTGTATTTCAGAAACATGGTTGCTGAAACTGTATTTACTTGACGGCAGAAATGTAACTTGGCATTTCAACACAGGCTGGCTTACATCGTCCTAATAGACAAGGCCGTATTGTGTTTAAACAGTGCAACATCGACAAACGCCTCAGATGACACGAACAATGTCCATCTGTACCCGCTTCACGGTGGAAACTTGTGTTGTCATTCGTGAATTTCATAAAGTTAAACAGAAAGGCACTGGACAGCGTTTGTTAGACAAGTCACACTTTGAAATGAAGACGACAACCTACTTACAAAACAGCGAACAGCCTCTTACATATCTCTGACTACTTTTTTGCATCCCAACAATTATATATCCACTCTGAAGCTGGCAACTGTAATGTATGTTGAAATGTTGGATAATTTTCAACATTTGACGCAGTTAATATACGAAATCCAAAGTTGTACTTCGAAATCTATTCTTCCTTTGGACTAATTTAGATAATCGTGAGATTTGAAATTTTCACGTAGAATAAATTCTATGAAATCATCTCGGGCAATCGATTATATTTTAATTCATTTAAATATTATTCGGTGCGTAAATTTACAGGTCTTTAAATTGTCATTTCTGCAGGAGTAATTTTTGAATCTACAGATATTCAATAGGATAACAATAACTAATTGTCGCTGAAATATTTTCTTTGTTATAATTTAAAAAAAATACAATTGTAAATAATTTCAAAGTCAATTATGTATACGAAATAACAAGTAACACATTTGGATTAAGTGTGCTCTAAACTAGAGTTGCTATGTTACGATGTGGAGCGCTTGTATTATTTACAAATTCCTTTTCAAATAGCTGATTACACTAAAGAATGCTTTGAATAACGTAACATTTCAACCTATGTTTCCTTTCGATACATATTCAATTGTAAAACCAGCCTATAGCTGACCATTTACGTCTGAAAAGAAATTCTTTATATTTTTTAGTCAGATATTAACGTGTCTAAATATTATACAAGAATTCAGTCCGTACCTCAAAGAAAACTTAACCTTTCACCATTATAAAGATCAACTAATTAACGCTGTTTACAGAGAAAATCATACAATACAAATAAATACAAATTGAATGGTTACTGATATTGAAACACCTGGTACATAGTTAACATTCGGGTTTAAATAGTAAATCGTGCACTTTAATTCAACATTTAGTCTCTTGATTAGTTGCAGAATAATTCTGTATGAGAATACGGAATAAGCTTTCTAAATATCTTACTTAACGTTAAGTCATTAAGATTCTCGTACATAAAATGCAAAGAACAGCGAAAGCATTCCGTGAGATCACACAAAGATGAAGCAACCAGGTGTTTCAGGATTCTCATACACTGATATTTTTATGACAGTTCATAAAGGTTACACAAGTAGCTGGGAAACGTCTTAGATGATCTTGTAAATTCTTTAATATTATTTTTTCTAATAAAATTCTAAGTCGTATCTTACTATTACGCACATTACAAGAAAAGAAGGAATGTTTATAGTTGTGGAGTCCAGAAACAAATCCATATCAGAACAATTTATTGCGAACGTAAAGGTTTAAACATTTCTAAAATTGTACCAATTACGAACAGACTATTTATTGTTCTTGCGGTCCAAATCAGTTTAGGGCAAATTAACAAAACTACTAAGGACATGACTGACATCGACTGATTAAATTACAGAAAATGTATTCCTTACTAATTCGCATTATTATTATTATTATTTAGTGTTCTGTCTGACGACAGGTCCATATGAACAGGATCCTTCCATCCTTTTCTCGGACTGGGACCTGTTCATATACGTTCTTGGCAGATGATCCAGAAGTGGTTTGACATTGCCTTCTTCTGTGTGTGAATGGAGTAATTGTGGGGATGCCACGGAGGAAAACCCCGTGTTGCCTAGACCACGGCCTTGACCAACACAAACCGGGGAAGCCCCCGGAGCAAAACTCCGTGTTGCCTAGACCACGGCCTTGCCCAACACAAGTTATAAATTCGGGCACCGCCGGGAATCGAACCCGAGACCCCCCCAGGATTACAAGGCCAGCGTTCTAACCGCTAGACCACCGTGGAGTGTTAAAGTTACGCCTGTTACATTTAAAAAAAGACATTTTAAAATCCAGATTTGTTTCGACATGTATCCGCCATTATCAGAAGTTGTCTCTAAGTTCTGTCGCTACAATACATGACAGTGGACTCAGAATTTGTAGAATTAAACTCGTGTTGAGTCGCCAATTTATAACTATTTTAATTACTTCACTTATCCTGTAGGCTGCAATTTTTTTTTAAGTTTTCCTTTTATTAGAGTGAGTTTAATTTCTGTGTTCCGTTTGCCGGCGACTCGCACGATATAGAAATTGTTCTTAAGATTTTATATCGAGGTCGGAGTCGGTCTCCAAATTACGTCACATTAGATCTTCATGAAGTGGTTCTCAACATAGCAAAGCGTTACACTGTATTATTTCTTATTGCAGGTACAATGCCACGCCTTGGTGGACCAGGACTTTACGCCTACAGTTACGGCAACCTGCAAGGCTGGATACATGACTATAAATGTAAAAACGAACCAGTCATTTTACGGTACGTACTAAACGCAGAATTATTTTATTATCTGAGCTAATATTTAATTCCGTTTAAGTAAAATTACCCCCTTTCTTTTGCACTGATATACGAAACACATAAACACAAACTTACTGATTGCTAAACCGTACATATTATTACCACTAGACTTTAAAGTATTAAAATTACTATTGAAATTTGATATACGGGTAATTAATTATGCGTTTGTTTAGCTTTGATGGACCTTGTAATGAGGGAAGTCCCCAGAGCAGATTAAAATCGAGGGCAGTTCTCTTACCCACATACTAAACGCGGACCACCCTAGCATTGACATCTATCCACTGATACGTTTCCATTCCTCATCTTTAACCATATTTAGTTACTAACTCAGTAGTGTTACAGCATCCAGGTACATCGTTTGCTTTGACAGCGAGATTAAATGCTAGGATTTGATTCACTCACTTTAGTGAGTCCGAAGTTGACTGGCTGTCTTCTGGGTTGTAGCTTCGTGTAGTCTGGTAGAAGCTGATGGAGGCAGTATGACCTCTGAAACGTCGGTAAAACTTCTACCAGACTACACAGCGCAACAACCCAGAAGACAGAAATCTTCATACTCATCGTTCTGATTATGGAGGCAGTATGACCTCTGAAACGTCGGTAAACTTCTACCAGACTACACGGCTGTATAACACAGAAGACAGCCATATTTAAATATTACCTAGTGCATTGTGCGTTTCATTTGTCATTACTAATACAACTGACGTGAAACAAAGTAGTTGATATGGAGAAATACATAAACAACATTCACTTCAAGCATCCAGTTGAAAATAAATATTAAAATACATGTTTTAATCCTTATTTTCCTTCGTATTCGAAGAACAGTCAGTGGCAAAAGCCCGTCGAACTTCAACGGGAAATTATTTATTTTGCATCTCCATCCGTTCTTTGCCTTTTTCTTATAATTATCTTTTTTCGTTTCTCCTTTATTAATTTCCTACACCTTTCAGCTTAGAACACAAAAATATCACGCTACAACCTTATATGAACGTCTGCGTCACAAATATTACGCTATAAGCATTTCTAAAAGCTGCCTAACAGTAGCAACACTTTTAAAAGAGAATATTCTGCCATCTAGCGTCATTACTGAGAACTTCTGGGCCTCTGTGAGCTCAACCATCTTCCCATCGAAGGAATCAAATATCACGTGGGTTTTACGTAGTACAATTTTATATTTATCTTAAATCATTATTAACCCTTTACAACTTATTGGTAATTAACAATCATTAAAATTTCACATTTTATATACAGGCTTCATATGATTCTAGTTGTAAACAGCGAACATACAAATGCTCCGATCAAAAGTCGAACTGTACGTTTTGTAAATTTGAAATTATATATATATTGTATACAGAATTTTTGAACACCCTCTATAAACAGTTTGTTCTAATTCCGGAATGTAATATCAATTATTTATTTTAATCCGTCTGATCACAATATAATTTTATTTAAAATTTCTTATAATTAAGATAATAAAATATCATTCATGCTCCATATCGATTGATCGATTTACATTTCGGAACATGAAATTTTAAATAAAATTATATTGTGATCAGACGGATTAAAATAAATAATTGATATTACATTCCGGAATTAGAACAAACTGTTTATGGAATGTAAATAAATACAATAAAACGTTTCTAGAAAAGAGTTATACCATTTTATCTGTATCTTACGCTGAAGGACATTTGTTAAAAACTAAAATTTGTTTTCGACAAATCTAATGTGAAGGCCCTCCATATTATCAACGCTAATAAACATGAAATAAGACTGAAATTTTAGACAAGCCTGGGGTTTACTGACAGACCAAACTTTATAACTATCTGAGATCCAAATCTATGGATTAAATAAACTCAGGGAATTTGAAATTAAAGATCTGATTTTAAGAAGCTATTTTCTTTTCTACCCTTTGCGGATAATACGTTTATTAAATTTAATCTATTATCTTTCCCGCCTGCTTCCCAGAAATTTAAAGCGTATTATTTCACTTATGAATAGCATTAGAATTGCCAGTTACAAGGCAAGTTGAACACCTGCGTTTATATTATAAGTTAACCGGACACAATAAATCTTAATACGTAATTCATGGCGCAGAGGCACCCATGTACAGTCTCGACGCGTTAATTAATGCGTTTGTAGTTCCAGTGGATTTCAATGTGAAGAAAAAGGCGAGCCCTGATGCAGAACGGAATTTGCGAGCAACTCCTTAAAATATAAGCAATCTCATTCGGAGTCCATGAACAAAGTATCAGAGTCCAGTGTTTATCAACCGCTGGTCTGTGGCAAATTGTTAACGCTCCGAAAAACTTCTTTTGTTTCTTAAAAACTGTTCGTAAAAAGTGATTCAAAGTGTACACAAATTTATTGAGTGCAAAAGAACATTAACAATCAAACTAATTGTCTTCGTTTGCTACAATTATTATTATTATTATTATTTATTTAGTGTTCTGTCTGACGACAGGTCCATATGAACAGGATCCTTCCATCCTTTTCTCGGACTGGGACCTGTTCATATACGTTCTTGGCAGATGATCCAGAAGTGGTTTGCCATTGCCTTCTTCTGTGTGTGAATGGAGTAATTGTTGGGATGCCCCGGAGGAAAACTCCGTGTTGCCTAGACCACGGCCTTGCCCAACACAAGTTATAAATTCGGGCACCTTAATGTTCATTTATGTTTTGTATTAGTCATAAAACAAATAAATGGAAATAAATATTAAAAAAAATTATTGGGGGAAATCTAAAATGCATACAAAATTTTTGTTTGGAAAATTCCCTTAGCAGCCTTATTGTTACTGAAAAAGAAAATTAATTATTTAAAATATTCTGACATCGGTTTCAACACTGCTACTCAGTAATATCGAAAAATTAACATATTCTAGAACTCGTAAACCACAATTTTCCGCCTTACATAATTTAGTTGTAACCTCCATGACAAATTCATTAAAACTTTTAAGTTAATTAGCATGTCTCAAGGCGATATCTCTCCGTCTGGCGATTTATTTATACAAGATAGTGTGTTTTTGACGGGAAGAGATATTTCTTTTCCGAAAACACAAACGAGTTAACACGCCATAGACCTCACGACTGGCTCTTCCACTTTGGTTAACGCCTATGTCTGTCCAGTGCTCAGATGTTCGATACCATTTTGGGACATCCACTCTCATTTAATTCTAGCATTCCCATTTAAATTACCACATAAAATCTTTCTTTTCTATCGATACAGCTACCATGTAATACTTTCTTATCGGTTTGTATTCATCCATCCATTGACAAGTTTCTACCGTAAAGAA